CCCGGACCACTGCAGAAGGTGTGTAAGTGGGATTGAAGACATCATTCTTTCTACCACCAAATTATACTCTCTAATTTGAGGTTAGCTGTCCTTGCCCACTCTATGCAGTGTGAGGAGGAAGTCACTACCCCTTCCTCTTTCATCTGATGATTAGCTAGAAATACCTTGAAGTTGACCAAGTCTTTGCTTTAGCTACTGCCAGGGTTATATTGTCAACTGCCTCCAGAGTCCCACGCTTCACAGGACTCCTTCTTCATCTTAGCTGCTACCTTCACCTCTGTGGTCTATCTGGTTTGGGGTTTTACTGCCACTCAGACATCAACTATCTTGGAGCCACAGCTCCATAAATCAGCTTTGGCAACAGAGGTGCACGATATGAGGGACTCATTGTGGACCCTTGGAATGCTCTCAAAGCTTTACCAAAGCTGGGATTTGAAGATCCTGTGGAGCAGGTTTTTCCCAGACACTCCTTAAGAGCCTTTACTGTACATAGAGTAAACCAGGTTTCTCCAGCATCTCCCACTGCCGCCTGATCCAACTCAACACCAGGTGGCAATCAGCTGATGCCTCTGTTTCTCTCTTTACCAAAATGTCTAATACATACATGGTCGCAGGTTTAATGATAAGATTACAAAATCAATCCTCAAACTGTGTCTTAGGGCATCCTGGTGCCAAGTGCACATATGGACAGTCTTATGCTCAAATACAGTGTTTGTAATTGACACACTGTGGTTAGCACAGAAGTGCAACAAGAAAACACCATGTGAATTCAGATCACTCAGGTCTTCCCTCCTAATCACACCGTCATTGTCCATGTGAGCACTGAAGCAGTCCAGCTGAACAATAGTGTCCCCATCATGCGTACCTTCAAACATATTGCCCAGGGACTCCAAGAAGGTTGAGTACAAACATGATATGGCACATGAGCACAAATGACAGTCAGGACCTGTTCCAGGATCCAGGTCCAAGGCACACAGAAGCAATTCTCTAATCCAGTGGGGGTGAAAAACCCAATCTGCAGGTACCAAACTGGACAAATACAAGTCTACCTACTCCTGCTCACCACCTCTTCTACCAGAAGTCATATTTCATACTCCTAAAGCCAGATCTAACCAGAAACCAGGCTCAGGGTCACCAGGATTTCCACCCCGACCCCTGCCTGATCCACAAAGTATAAAACTCCCTGAGTCGGGAGGTCACCACAGAAATGAGACATTCCCTCATTCAAAAATGAAATTATATTATCAATAGCTTAGGAATTAGGAAAATAAACACCTGTGAACATTTTTGCAGTTATTGTAGCAATGAGTTATTTTTTACTTTGTTTATTTATGCCCCAGCATAAACCACGCAGATTAACTTCTCTACACAGCAGCAAAAAAACCCCCAAACAAACAAAAAAACAGGTACAGATGTACAAACTAGCAAACTTTTTGTTTGTGACCTCAGGAGCAAGCTGTCCCTCACTCATTAAAGTATTAAACACTGCTGTCTTCTAACATAAGCTGTTATTTAGCTTTATCTCTTCAGCCACATTTCAGTCCCCGAAGAGATAAAATATTCCACTAGAACTCTGCTCAGGAGCAGACCGGGTTACAGGCAGCCTTCCGTCTGAGGAATAATTCACATCGCTGTTCCAGAGAGTGTGGAAATGTTCAACCAGACATGATAGAATAGATGACTCACCTTATCCAAACCGTTGTAAGCCAAGTTTTGTGCTCTACTCTTTTTCACTTTTTCTTTCTTTTACTCTTCCCTATTTTACTTACATATCTGAATGCTGCTCATAAGTCACCACCTGACTGTAATGTTTTGGTGTAAATATGGGTGAAACGAGACAAACAGGCCTTTTTGCTGACCTGCAGTGTGCTGAGTCCAGTGAGAGGTTGGTTAAAGTGTAAAAAGTAGTTTAGACACGAAAATTTGTAGGAAGCTGTGTAAAATAAAACGATTGCATAACTCAACACCTCTAATTTAGAAAATTAGTAGTTTGGAATTTCACCATCCGAACAGGGTTTCCAGTGATTCTTCTTGGTAAACCATTTCACCACAAACAATGTCTCCACTATGATATCTGATTTCTCATTTCTTGTTGAAGTGTGCAAAACATTTAACAGGAAAGGCCCATTCACTAACGCTTACCCTTATCACACAGAACCTGTTCTTCTCTTGCATCAGGGCTAAAGCTGAGACGAATGATCATAAAAGAGATTAAAAGAGGTGACATTCCTCGTAGGCAGTAAACAGGTGGGTATGAAAAATATAAGAAAATGGAGATTATTGACAGCACAACTGACAAGAAATAGCTAGAAAAGAAGAGAGGGGGATGGTGAGAAGGACGTTAATATTTTCATAGAAGATAGAAAGCACTAAAAATAACTCAGTCTCATATTGTGTTTTATACTGTGGTGATCTGTTGTAATACTGTACTTAATATTTCACAGGCCCACAGAGTAATGTTCTCATTTCACAACCAAAACGCAATAGTTGTGAAATAAAGCAAAGCTAGACTTTGTCATTTTGGGAAACACCTATTTTCTTAGTTTAAACTTAGAAAGCAAAATTCCAGTAAAATCCCCAATTTCATGGTGTTTATATCAAATTCTGACTCTACCATCTAAATGTCACAGCAAAAACTGTCCAATGTAGTTCAACAAATGCAACAAAATTTTTAGCATGAACAGAAAAGGGAAGGAGAGGCACAACAGGGTTTTACAGCCATCTGTAAACCATGGTTGTCATGGTTTGGAGCTGCATTTTAGACAGTGGTGTTGGTGCTATTCAAAATTGACAGAATTATAAACATTGAAATTTACTGTCAGTCTTTAATCTAACATGCAAGAGCATCTAGACACTCTTGATGCATGCTCAATCATCTAAGTAAGTAAATCCCAAAAGGTTGATTCTGTTCATCTGGACGTAGCGTTTTCAGTGGGAGAAACATTTCTTAAATGATCCAATTAACTTCTTCAGTCTCAGCTGACTGCAGGTTTCCCCAACCTCATAAACAATTCATTGGATGCTACATCCAGATGAACAGAATCAACCTTTTGGGGCCATCTGGAAAGAAACTGATTGATAATTTGCAACATGATTATGATCTAATCCAGTCAAAGCCTACCTGGACAGAAAGAAACACACAATGGAAGACTATCAGTCATGAATTGGCCTCTCCAGAGCTTGGACCTCAACATTACTGAAACAATGTGGGATCATCTTGACAGAGAATGGAACAAAAGGCAGCAAACATCCAAAGAAGAGCTTTGGATGTCATTCAAGAAGCCTGAGAACTATTCCTGAAGACTACTTAAAGAAATTACAAGAAAGCTGCCCAACAAAGTTCAGTCTGTGTTGAAGGATAAAACCAGCCATACCAAATTCTGACTTTCAAGCTCATTAGAATTGTCATCTGGTTTTGACTCATTTAGTTTGACTTGTATATTGTATACAAGTATATATTGTGTTCCCACCTATGTTTGAACATATTTCAACTCACTATGACTATTTCCTTTTTTCCTTGAAAAATGTAAAGAAATGAGAGGAGCCTCAAACCTTTTGCATAGTCGTCTCTTTAAAAATATACGACCTGACTATTAACAGTATGAACTGACAAGAAGAAACAAGATGAGAACTGAAAAGGGGGACAGGCTGGAATAATTCTATATCCTGTTATAAAAAAGTATAAAGCTCCTTGAGACAACTTTGTGGCACTATAGAAATAAAATAACTGAACTGAATAATTAGAAAAATGAAAAAGAATGCAGTGTGGAGACAAAAAGGCATAATTCTATGTAACAGTGGCGATTGTTTCATTGAGACATAACCACAGTTTCATAACCATCACATGGCTTCAAAGCTATACGTGCTTTAATGACATCAGGGAAAATCCTTCCCTTTTCCTTTAACTTTAATGTAATTTTGAATGGAAGAACTGAAACTGATCTCATTTTTTGTAAATATATGATGGAACCAAAAAAATAATATAATAATACATACAACAATATGAACACAAAACTCTGATGAAGATCTGTTTTTTTATTTACAGCAGTAGAAAATTCACAAACATATAAAAAGATTAATATCATACAAAATGTAATTTTATATCAAGTTCGTTTATAATTCCACTGATTTATGTCAGAGGGGTGTAGCAGCTCCCCCAAACACACTTCTGTGGCAGAATCGCAGAAGGTCTGGACGCTCTACAAAAGACAAAAATTAAACAACACCAACTTAAATATCTTTACTGAACATTATTACAGGAAACATGAACCTCAAACAAACATGACTGCATTTCACTTACTGCCTTGTTTTCCTGAGCTGCAGAGGCATTTGTTCAGAGCCTGTTTCTCTTTGCTGTCTATGGGTAGGAGTGGTTGGGGACACCTAAGTTTGCCCCTGAAAGACTCTGCAAGAGAGAATAGAGGTGGTCACTGAAACCATTTCACTCCAGTCATTGCCAGTTAACCAACTTTATGTGGCATCATGGTAACGTTTACAACGGCACAGATTTGCAGTCGATCTTTTCAAGATAGGACACACTTCAATGTAGCATCATAGCAGCCCTGAGGACTGCAATGTTGGTGTTTGTGTGTTTTGTTGCAGTTACAACTGCAACAATGACATTACCAAACAAAACTGTAATGGGTTTTGTAAAAGCGCTATACAAATACAGGCCATACAGGCCAAAACTGCTGGTAACTTACTTGTGCATCTGCATCTGAGAATATCCTGTTTGGTCACACCAGACTGAGCAGCAGACTCTGCCCTCAGTGAAAAAGAAAAGCAAACAAGTGAGAAATCATTTATACGAACGTAAAACATTATCCATCAACCCCGTGTAACATTTCCTCTCAAACTCACGGGCAGTGGTGCACAATAGTTTACATTTAAAATGAGTCAGTTAGTTATCGTCCCGTTGGTGAGTAAAACAGCAACATAACCATCCATGCATATAAAGTTCAAAACTAATGATCCTCGTATGTACCTGTGCTATCACACAGGCTGCTGACCAGAATGATGAGCAGCAGCGTCATCCCTGTGATCCTGGACATGGTGGCGAAGGTTCGTCTGTTCCGTCTGACGTGTTCAGATTCTTCTGCAGAAGACGAGGATCTGAGTTTTATACCCCCGCAGTGAGTCCACGCTGACACGGTGTGAGGAGCTTGAACTTACAGATCAGTCCTGACATGTTTAAGGGGGATGTTTTCTTGTTTGTTTGTTCAGATGCTATCTCAGCTCTGCATGGATTCATCTGTAAAATCTTAGAACTTATCCAAATCGTTGGAAAACTGAGTGCTGGCAACAATTTTTGCACGGTGGCATCACTGAGGTGTAAATTTAAAACCAGGCTTCATCAGAGAGAGACTCAATGGATCCTGAACAGATGTGTGTAGGAGAGTTTAGTGTAAGACCCACTAGACCCAAAGAATCATTTGGTAGTACATTCTAAATGATAATGAGCCAGACATTTTGTTGCACTGGACTGTTTATTGGTTAATTTATTTGTTAGATGTGATTGGACGCTCCATACATGGAGTTTTAATGTTTTAATGCTCTGGATATGACCCCTTCTTTTTTGTTTAGCTGGAAAAAACTACATGAAATTGTTGCCAAGATGGCTACCGCCAAGTGGACTTGCTTCTACAAGCCTTTGATGAACATTAGAGACAAAATGGTGCTTTGCTTGCAGAGTTCTGCTACAAATCTGAAATCAGATAGATCGTATTGTTTGGAAAAACAAGCCTCTGTGTTCCCATGACTGCTATCACTGCTGACCTGCAGGATTTGGAGTTCACAGATAAAACTCTAAAAGGACTTATAACCCACAGGTTTTACTTCACTATTCAGTGACAGAGAGTGTGCCTGTGTTGGCACAATGGGCTAATGTCATTTGTTTTCATTAGTGCTTTCAACTCAAGGAAATAATGACTATTAAAGTTTGAAAGTTACACAAAATGATTTGCAAAGGCAGGTCCTATTGTCCACATATGCAGCGCTGGTGTGCTGATATCTGAATTTCTCTTTGTCTTGGCAGATAAAGTTGTGAATCGATGCCTCCATCAAACAAAGGTTTTGTCTACTTCTTCAGGGGCCACAGCTAACAGAAATCAGCTCGAGTAGCATTAAAAATACTGCAGCCTGAAAATATATTATGTCTGCTCAGAAATGTAGGACCTGATTATTAACAGTAACTGACAATAAGACAAGAACAGGACGTGTGAGGCTAACATGTGAAAAGTGATTCTGTGTCTTGATTTTGTTGTTTTATTGTTGTTTTCAGTTGAAGGCATAAAAAAATAAACCTTTAAAAAAAAAAAGAAGATGAACATTATCATCAGTTTATATATCAGTGGACATTCCTGCCTGTGTGGTGAGGGTTTTGTAACAGCATTGAAGAAATGAGTCATTTATTTCACAAGCATTCCTGCCATTAAAGCAACACACACTTTGATGATATTTAGGGAAAAATGTCCATTTAATGTCTTGTTTAACTCTGGGTGACATAGAAACCACTCTCACTTTTGTGCTGAACTTCTTTTACTATAGTTCAACATGAAGATTGGAGGCCAGGCAGCTGGGAAACAAGTAATCCTCCATAGAAATGATTCACTATTAATCAGTGTATTTATGTCATTGTCTCTGTGAAATCTATGAACACATTTCAGAGTGAGACCAGATCATATATAACAATAATTGCTTCTCTTTCATGTTTTTAAAATTTCAAAATACTAAAAAAAGGACAAAAAATGAATAATAGGATATTAAAAATGTTCATTTTATTTGTTTTCAAGGTTGAGGGCTTTTTCAGTTAAATATGTGGAAACACAGAAGGAGACGAGACTCTATGTAATAAAAAAAATAACTGTCTTTATTTACAATTTCAGAAAAAATCACAACCATCTACATAACAAGATTAATGTCATACGTAATAGGATATTAAGTTTGGTTAGTCAGTGTCTGGACTTCTTTATCTCAGAGCAGATCAGCAAGGTTGTATTTCTTGATCACACGGCAGAACTGCAGAAGATCTGAACGCTCTACAAGACAAAAAAAGAAAAAAAATGATGACAACTTCGTATATTTACTGAATATTATCACAGGAAAGAGAAACATCTCTCTTGACGGGATTGTGTTTCACTTACTCTCTTCTTGTATTTTTTTGCAGGCGCATTTAAACACATCTCGCTGCTTGTTGTAGTTTGTGGGCACGAGCGGTTTGGGACACTTAAACCTGCCTGTGGAAATCTCTGCAAGAGAAGACAGCTGGTCACTGTAACTGTCTCCACATAAAAAAGGAATGTTTTTAATAGCAGAGAACTTAGGAGAAAATTCCCTAAATGTTCAATTGGAAACACCATCACATACGCCCATAGCAACACAAAGAACTAAGATATTTGTTTTGTGTCTTTAAATTTGTTTTTGTTTGTTTTGCATTTTTTTACGCAAAGAAGATGAAAGTGGTCACTGGTCACTCACCTGTGCATCTGCACTTGCGAATATACAGGGATACTCCATGGGAAGGAGCTGCAGTGGAAGAAGATAACAAATAAGACATCAGTCATGTGGAGCAGCGATACCTTACCCATCAGCTCTGTATAACACCAGTGTCACAGTCTACAGTTTAACAGAGTCACCTGTTTACAGCCATGTTGCAGAGTAAAACTGTGACATCTACATCTCTGCAGAACAAGTGAAAAAGAATAATCGTTGCGCACCTGCGCTGCTGCACAAGCTGTTGACGAGAATGATGAGCAAGATCGTTACCGCGGTGATCCTGGACATGATGCCAAAGGTGTTTCTTCTTACTCCGAAGTGTTTAAAGTGTTCGTTGGGACGACGAGGAACTCTGAGTCTGGTGATTGCTTATGCCGACAGTTATATAGCTGCCCAGACGGTGTGCATCCACGTGGGGTCTACAGTTTGTGTTTCAGATCAGTCTCGGCATGTCTAAGAATTTTTTACTTGGATAATCTCTCAACTGTGCATGGGCTCACCTGTAAAATGTGATAAACATGGAGATAACACCCTCTCAAAAACTGTGAGCTGAATGCAAGTGACCCGGAGTATTGTTTTCTTTTCTGCACTGGGGTTAATCCTCACCAAACATGAGCTTTAATGCATTTAAAACCACAGAATTGTTAGTTTACACCACAGGAGGCTATTTGGTCAGATTAAAGATTAGTATGGGTGTTTAACAACCACTGCACTATTACTGACATTTCTAAGCAGTACATAAACATAAACTGTTTTTTACCGCTTTCATGTAACAGTCTTGACTTCTGGCTTTACACAAATATGGCTGATACATTAATGACATGAAATGTTAGCAGAAATTGCAACAAATAAACAAACAAACCCCTGTTAACTGGTTTGCAATAACAAACAGAGAAAACAAACTAACCCTACTATTCATGGGAATGTAAACTCCAACTCCAAACAAGTTGGGTTATTGCATATAAGTAAATAAAAACAGAATGCAATGATTTATAAGCACATATCTTATTAACAACAGAATACAGAAAGCAGAGATTAAGATTCTCGAATCTGCCATAAAACAAAAACTGTCTGTTTAGAAAGAATTTGACTTAATGTATTTGAATGAAAAAACATACATTATTTAAATACAGTATATATCATCTATATAATATATAAAGATTCTGAAAATCTGGAGAAACCTCTGTGCGCAAGGAAGAAGGCCAAAGAAGACATTCAACATTAGATGTCTGTGATACTCTGGCCGTCGAGCAGCACAGCATTGAAAATAGGCATGATTCGCTCGTGGAAATCACTGCATGGACCCAAGAACACTTCTAGAAATCACTATCTATGAATGCAGTTCACCGTTTCATTCATAAATGCAGGCTATGCCGTTTTAGGCAGGCACATCTAAAAAGGCATCATCAATGCTGAAAAGTATTTGCATATTTTAGAGCAACATATCTTCACAGCCAGATGCCGAACTGCATACTGCATCTACTCCAACAACATGGCTTCATAGTGAAAGATTCCAGGTGCTGAACTGATCTGCCTGCTACGGAAGAGGATTAGGGCCACTGGAAAAAAAAAAAAAAAAGAATTCTGACTTTAATCTCAGAATTCTGAGATTAAAGTCAGAATTCTTTTTTTTTTTTTCCAGTGGCCCTAATCCTCTTCCGTATCTTTCGTACCCTGCAGTGCAGACGACTGTTAAGAGGAATGGGGCAACGTTCCTCTGCCAAAAGTCCTGCAGCTGGCCTCCTCAGTTCCTAGATTGTTATGGACTGCCTAAGTAGGAGAAGGGATGCTACACAATGATAAACATGAACCAGCACAAACTTTTTTGAGATGTGTTTCTGTCATGAAATTTAAAATGAATTCAGTTTTCCATAAAATGGTAAATTTTCTCCATTCAAACATGTGAATAAAATATGGGTTTTTGGGATTTACAAATTACACATTATGTTTTTATTGACAGCTTACACTGCATCCAAACGTCTTTGGAATTGGGGTTGTAGAAGAACCTTTGTGTTTGCTGTCCATCAGTAAAATTTGACCAAATCAGAACCAGTATTTCAATACATTTTACAAAGTAAGGTGATTCACAGTTATGCAAACGTCTCAAGCAAAACAAAACAAAACTTTATCCATCGACTCAATCTAAAACTAAACATTTATATTTTTGTTTTAGTCAGTTTTGCAAGTGCTTAATGTCTTTTTTTTTTTGTTGTTTTTATATATTTTTTTAAGTTGGGTGTTTATTTTTCAGTTAATTAATATATGTTTCCAAACCTATTTTTAGTCTTTGGGACAGGATTCTTTCATCTATAATAACCTAACTGCTCAACACTGATTATTAAAACAAAGTATTTGTGCTGCATCTACACCAAAGTGTGTACTTGGTAATATTTCCCCTGGTTGAAAACCAATGATTTTTAGTTGATGGCTGATATGAGCTTAATTAAAGAAAATGGAAATGGTATCATACTGAAGCCTAGTCTGCCTTTTCTTCACTGAACTTATGAAGTTCCCACTGAGTCAAAGATGTATTGTCAAAATTAGCATAACATTTTTGGTGTGTTTGGACTCTCTTGAATTTCCATTGTACTATAAACAAAAGACCACTTGAGTTTGATCCAAATGCAGGGCAGTGAATTTGTAATCACTGACAGTGTTGTTTAAGAAGTTAAAGATTTGTTTTTGTCTGTTTCATTTAGTCAATAAGTGGCAGAGGTAAGTGGCTGGGGTTGAGTCAGGTTGCTTAGATAAGTGAAGGTGAACTCAGACATTGCCAGGGGCACTGACTCAAGGCCACAGCATACTGCAGTAACCTGAAAAAAGAACAAAGTGTCAAAGCGGACAAAAAGTTGTGTACTTTTGTGGTAAATAACAACTTCCTGTAAACACTTTCATGTTCCCCATATAAAATGAAATGAAAGTCTCTGGAAGAGGGGGTTGACGTGAAGTACCCGACATGAAGCATTCTATGTGGCGTGTATGGGGTGGGTGGAGGGGGGGAGGGGTGTTATTGAACACCGTCCGTCATTGGTTGGCTCTAGAGTCACTCTCTCATTACAAGAGGTGCGTAATTACGCTTTGAGCCCTCGGAACTTTGGCACACCTCCACTGTATAATCTGAAGTTCAGCGCTGTCAACCGCACGGTGACGTCCGCAAGACGCTATGAGTCAAGACACAATACGAGGAAATCCCCAAGGCCGAGAAAACGCTGAGAGGCCCCTTTAAATCGACGCTTCCTCAACGCCGTGCCAACAGAGGGAGAGAGAGAAACAGCGCTGATAAACAACAACACGGTTCTCAGAAGCGGCTTTTACCGAATTCAGCTCTTTACTGCGGCCTCAAAGAAACGAAGGTGAGGCCGTGTTTTTATATTTAGTCATATTTTAAGCGTATTGTAGAGAAACCGCTGAGTTACTGTTGTTTAGAGACGGGTGGAAAAGCTTTTCTTATTCTGACTATAGCGAGTAGAATGACCGAAGACACGCTTTGTGTCGCTGTGCTGTTGTAGTGGGCAGGAAGGGAGCTGCTACACCTGATAGTAGTAATACAACTGAAAACACGTACGAGTACACGGCTTATTGTAGTGTAAACAGCCGAGAAGTGTTGGGAGACAACTGGCAGAGCTTTTCGCTCTCTCACTCGCGTTTTTTGACAAACGTGTTCACTTTGGTTGACAGGTTTGGCGGACTTCCCTTCTGTAATTTCCAGTATTTAGTCGTCTGTTGCCCATACATTCATCGGTTAATACCATTGCGGAAGTGCGAAGCTTTCCATCACGACACAAAGCTTGGGCTGTGCGGACATCTAGCGGTCAGACACTAAAGGACGCCTCCCAGAGATGTACGGTGCTTCAGGTATCCCCGAGCTCATCCCGCCCAGCGGGCCGCCCAGGCAGCCCGGCCCGGCGGGGCAGTTCAACCCGGGACACCCCCAGGTCAACGGTCACGGTGGCGGGCCCAACCCTCAGAGACTCGGACAGAGGGCACCCAAACTAGGCCAGATCGGTCGGTCCAAGAAAGGTGAGGCTCCATATAGAAGTATGAAGTGATGACCCCACCTACACAGTTTACAATTACACAATGACAGTATAGCAGGCAGCATATGCATTTGTTCTATGCACATATGTAATAAAACATAACAGTAGCAGTAGATATGTCAGAGCTCCTTATTGGCTGTTGAACTGTATTGGATTAGTCATAAATATTTATAAGGTGGATAAAATGTTGCTATTATATTTGTATGTGTGTTTCAGTCAGCAGTGATGTATACAAATAAAGATGTCTCATAGATAATGCAGAACAAGTCAATGGGCAGACATAAGCAAGGTTACAATTAAAGAATTAAGTAAAAACAAATCAAACTCCACTGAAACAAAATCAAGCAACTATAGAAAAAAAAAAACCACAAGTAGGCGTGCAGCGATACACTGATTGTGCCTTTCACCGTGATATCTGTAAATGGAAAATTAGGTGTTACAGATAAGTAACTAGTTAGATAAAGAAAGTGACATCACCCTTACGTCTTTAATACAGCGTGACTGTAGCTTAGCCTGGCTAAGATAAAAAGCAGAAAACGTAGCTTAGTGGAAATGGCTAGCATGTAACCCTGTGTCAAACAGCTTTTAGGAACATTTGTTTTTAGAGGCAAGCTAGCTGTTTACCCCAATTTCCAGTGGTAATGCTATGCTAAGCTGACTGGCTACCCACAGTGGCTTTATTTTTAACATATAGATACAAGGGTGGTCAATCTTTTTGTCAAATTATTAAAAAAAAAAGCAATGTTTGATTTGAACTTACCCTTCTTGCCCCTTTAAATTTCATTTTGCCTAAGTAGCTAATCTCCTGTTTTGTTCTTCTCACCGCAACCGGTCACAGCAGATGGCCCTGCCCCTCTCTGAGCCTGCTTCTGCCGGAGGTTTCTTCCTGTTAAAAGGGAGTTTTTCCTTCCCACTCTCGCCAAAGTGCTTGTTCATAGGGGGTCATATTTTTGTTGTTTTTTTCTCTGTATGTATTATTCTAGGATCTGCCTTACAGTATAAAGCGCCTTGAGGCGACTGTTGTTGTGAGTTGGCACTATAAAAATAAAACTGAACTGAATTGTAGCTAATATGTGATTATTATAATAACTGCTTGTTTGCTTTTTCCTCCTCAGTGGACCTGGATGATGAAGACTTGGATGATATCATGAACAACAACGGGCAGTGCCCTGTATCCCTGTCACCCATCTCCTAAGCTTCACCAAGAAGTGCCAACAAAGAAAACCCCTGGGTCGCCAAACCCACCCCCACACCCTCTGACAGCGATCTTGTCCTTGCTCCTGTCAAGTGTCCTACTGAAGCTTCTTCAAGGCTAAAAAACGGCTCATTTATCGCCTGTTGAAGCCCTGACTGTGTATATAGCGCTTATTTAACTTAACTTTGGTCAGACTGTGAATGAATTCGTATTGCATTGCTCTCTACACTATACCTCGGTAGGTAGTGGACTATCAGGATTTAAGAAAGATTTGAAGGAAGTGTCTATATTTTTTTTCAGAGCTTCTTCTCAAGGGCTACAT